ACAGACTGGAGTAGATATGTGTGATACTTCTATACAACGGTGAATTCATATAATGATACAAAGAACTCCTACATACCAGTAAGAAAAAGACAATGGAAAAACAAATGGGAAAGATACTTCATAAAAGAGGATGTTCAAATAGCCAATAAACATGAAAATATGTTTAAGCTCATTAGGCCTCAGGGAAACCAAAATTAAAGCATAATTAAATACCACTGTAAGCCCAAAAGAATGGCGACAATGAAAGAGACTGGCAAATAGTAACTACTGGCAAAGATGTAGAGCACCTGCAATTTCCATACTGTGCTGGTAGGAACGTCCTGGAACGTAGAACCATTTTGTAAATGTATTTGACACTAGCTCCTGAAGTTGAATTTATACAAACTCAACTGCCTAGAAATTCCCCTCATATATATTTACCCTACAAAAATGGATACACATATCTACCAAATCACATACTAGAATGTTCCTAGTGGAAAGCCTGCAAAATTGAAACCAACCAACCTTAAAACGGATAAACTATAGTGTCTTCACAAAATTGAATACTAGGTAGCAATGAGAATAAGCAAGCTATGATTTGAATGACTATTATGAACAATGTTAGCAAAAGAAGTCAGAGATAAAAGTGTACATAACATACGATTCCATTTATAAAATTTTGGAAACAGTAAAAGTAACTGAGAGTGAGCAAAATCAGAACAGTTACCCTGGTAAAGGAATGATAGGAGTTGGGAGCACGTGGTGAACCTCTGGTTAGGTTAGTTTCTTGACCGTAGTAATGATTAAATGGGTCCGATCTCTGTGTACTTGGCTGAAATTTTTACTTGAAATGGAAAGAACTCAGAAGATGCATATGTACTGAAGTAGAAAGGTAACCACAATATATCAGTAAGTGAGGTGGGAAACAGCTAATTGTAGATCACTGAATATAATATGATTCTGCACTGGTTAAAAAAATGTGAATTATTATATCCAAAATAAATCCATTAAGGATTTATTAACAATGCTTATCTCTTCGAAGTTTTACTTTTCATTTTATGAAATTTCATTGTTGTTGTTTTAAAATGAGCATTAGTTATAGGTTTGAGACCAAAATAATAAATATTAAAAAGAAACAACTTTCTAGCTGAACTTCTACAATTCCAAAGGTGTCTCACAGGCAGTGGCCATGAGAGTGATATCTCTTTGAGGGACCAAGGAGTGTCTAACGGAGGAGAGGACAGAGCACCTGGACGGGCAGAGCCTTCCTCATGAATGTGAATGCACTTTAATTTGCCTCCCTCAGCTTGTGCTCAGGGAGCAAGTTCTGTCTCATTCTCTAAGCAAAGGAACAACCCAAAAGGCACAGAGGCCCAGCTCTGTCCTGGAGAAGGGACTTGTGGTGTCGCCAAACACATAAACTCTACGTTCATGCATTGTTTTACTTCAGAAAAGGCACAAAGAATAATTACCACTTGTCAGGTCATAGGAGTAACACTCAATAAGCTTACCTGTACACCTTAGATTAGTAAAATAAATTCCAACCTATTCCTGTTATGCACAACCAAACAACCTTCTAACATAATCATGCTTTCCTCAACCGATTTTTATCATTACAAAGTAATTAAAATTTCTAATAATCCAATCTTCTGTTTACATATTGTTGTTGTTATATATGCTTACATGTTGATAAAAAAGGTTCAGTAGCTAAGAATTATACTTGAAAATAATGGGTAGTCTTTAAAATATTTTCATTATATATGCCAAGCCTATATATGGTGAATAAAGACCTTTTTCAAGTAAAAATGGAAAACATGCCCAAGAAAAAAACAGAATCTGTGTGTGCATCTACATGTGTGTATACAATTTCCAAAAATCCAGTGTATACAACCTCCCCGCATAGAAAAAATAGAGAACAAATTTTAGCCCATTTTCATTAAAAAATAAAAGACTCCTGGCCAGATGGAGTGACTCACACTTGTTATTCCAGCACATTTCAGGAGGCCAAGGTGGGCGGATCATGAGGTCAGGAGTTCAAGACCAGCCTGGCTAACAGAGTATAACCCTGTCCCTACTAAAACTACAAAAATTAGCTGGGCATGGTGGCATGCACCTATAATCCCAGCTACTTGGGAGGCTGAGTCAGGAGAATTGCTTGAGCCCAGGGGGTGGAGGTTGCAGTGAGTCAAGATTATGTCACTGCACTCCAGCTTGGATGACAGAGAGACACTTTGTCTCAATAATAAATTAAATAAATAAATAACTCCTGACGAATGAAGAAGTCACTCATTCAAATCAATGCCCAGAACTGGAAAAAAAAAAAAGGAAACTGGCCGGGTGTAGTGGCTCACACCTGTAATCCCAGCATCATTATGGGAGGCTGAGGCAGGTGGATCACCTGAGCTCAAGAATTCTAGACCAGCCTGGGCAACACAGTGAAACACCATCTATACTAAATTACAAAAAATTAGCTGGGCATGGTGGCATATGCCTGTAATTGTAGCTACTCAGGAGGCTGAAACAGGAGAATCACTTGAACCTGGAGGCAGAGGTTGCAGTAAGCCGAGATTGGGCCATTGCAAATCAACCTGGGTGACAGAGCGAGACTATCTTCAAAAAAAACAGAAAAGAAATGGAAGGGCATGAATACTAGACATAATGCTCAGATTTATAGGCTTAAGAAAAATAAAACATTAAATAATCATTTAATATGACCATAAGAACATATTTATTTTCATTATTTTTCTCATCCAGGTTAGAACCAAAGCACATGAGATTTATAATAGTGGGGATTAGTCCGACAGTTCAGCAGTTCCCAGCCTTCTGTGGCACCAGGAACTGGTTTCGGGGAAGACAATTTTTTTCCAGACTGGGGGTGGGGGATGGTTTCTGGAGGATTCAAGTGCGTTACATTTATTGTGCACTTTATTTCTATTATCATTACATTGTAATAGATAATGAAATAATTATACAACTTACCATCAGTAGAATCAGTGGGAGCCCTGAGCTTGTTTTCCTGCAACTAGAGAGTCCCATTTGGGGGTGATGGGAGACAGTGGCAGATCATCAGGCAATAGATTCTCATAAGCAGTGCGCAACCTAGATCCCTCACATGTGCAGGTCGCAATAGTGTTTGTGCTCCTATGGGAATCATGCTGCAGCTGATCTGACAGGAGGCGGAGCTCAGGTGGTAATGTGAGTGACAGAGAGCAGCTGTAAATACAGATGAAGCTTTGCTCCCTTGCCTGTACTCTGCTCACCTTCTGCTGTGCAGCCCAGTGCCTAACAGGCCACAGACGGGTCCATGGCCTATGTGTGGGGGACCCCAAACATACAAAAAAGAGGCACTTTGGGTGACAAAAGGCTAGACTAGAAAGCAGGCGCTAACCACAGCCTGCCAATTTCCATGGGATGAAATGGACCCTACTTGCATTTCCCCAACACACAGTGGTCTGTGTGATCAACTTAGGGTAGACTGCTCCTCCCACTGCATGTTCTTCAGACATAAATGCCACATCTGATAGCACAGACCTCCGCTGTGAGGAAACGGATATGTTTAAATTAAAGAGCACAGTAAATGCATGAATAAATAAAAGCGTATGGGTATAAACGTCTTATACATGATGCAGAGAAGAACAAGTGCATTCTGAGCAACTTGGAAGAGATTTCATCTTTCACAGTGTGCGAATGCATTTTGCTATGACATTTTCTATTTTTGTAGGGATGATCTTCATTACTACATTTACGATAAGAACTACAAAATTTTGTATCTGTTTGAACAAGAACATATACATAATTACTCTGTGGAGATATTTTCAAAAGTGTCAAACTATGAATTAAAACACTGTCACATTTTTTAAGGCTTCTTACATGGTTCCAAAACATGTCGTTTACAGTATGAAGGCTTGGTAAGACGGATGAGAACATTTGTATGGAACAGTTTCTAAAATATCAGTGATTTATTTTATTTAAAGTAAGCTTGAGCTCTGGTTATGTTAGATAGAAATTCTTCTGATGAGGGGGAAACATGTAGCTGCACAATGAATCCAAAGTAATTCAACTGCCCTCTCTCTTCTGAGGAAAAGGCTTTGCGTGGCCAAGATGAAATCCAGGTTTTCCAACACAAGCAAGAGCTCTATCTCTGTCTGCGGTGGGCAGCTCAGCACTGCTCAAAGACCTGGCCCTTTTGTTCAATGACTGCTAAGCGCCCTCTCTTTCTCTTAAGTCCAATAGGTAACTGGAAATGGCGCAGTCCAGCACAGTGTGCTAATTCACTGGACTTCCACCAGGTCAGCAGAAAGCTCAGCAATGTTCCTTTCCTCTAGAAGGCAGACAGATCTCCTGCATCTTCTGGGAGATACAAATGTACAGAGCTACCAAGGATGCAGGTGGGATACTGGCAAGAAATTATCAATGTTTACATCTGACTAAATCAAAACACAGCCCAGGGGAAACTGATTCCTTAGCTTGCTACAATATAATCTAACCTCAAAATTCTGTCTATATTGAGCCTTCATTGGAAAGAAACATAACTAAAAGAACACATGCAATTCTTCTTCCTAGACTCCAATGGATTCCTCAGCTCTGATGGTTCAACTTTTTGCCCAATACCCTTCTAGCCTTTCTTATTAATGAGGTGCATCTAACAGTCTCCCACCTTATCAAGTACAGTGAGACACACCTGGTTTCCCTCCATGGCCTCTACAGATGGCAGAGGGGGATTCAACTGAAACTAACTTCTGTAGGGTTACATTTTTCCTATCAGGGACCATAGAGAGGATAGAGTCCAGACCTTTCCTTTTAGAAGGAGAAAATTAAGATTTGAGTTAGTGCAGTGATGGGACTCATTCATAGGGCAGGAACTAGAACCCAAGTCTCTTTTGACTTCTGGTCAGGCTTTTTCCACCATTCCCTGCTGGAAGGATAAAACCAAACAAACAAACAAGACATTCTGCATAACAAAAAGTATATTCTGTGTTTTTGCTAGTGTTGTTTTTTTTTTTTTTTTTTTTTTTTTTTACCTCTGAAGAGATTATCCAAGTCAATATCTTCTTTTCCTTTGATTTTCAAACACTTTGCCTGCTGTACAAGTCTGGGCAAAGAACAGAAATAAAATCTAGATTCATTATCCTGTGAGGTAGGAATAAATCATGATAGCAGCACAAATTTAAATAGAAACCGCAGGATAAACAATAGTGAATTGGCAGGTGTTTTGCTGCACAGAGCCCTGTTAGAATTTTCTTCAGTTTAAGATTTTAAAAACACACTTCTGTTCAGAAACTCTGACTTCGAACCCTGATATTTAAAAGGCTTTCCCCCTCTCATTCTATTACAGCAAAAAGTTCCTAAAACTCTCTGGAGAATAATCTCTTCAGATTCTGAGGAGGAGCTAGCAGGATGGTGGGTGATGGGATGGTCGGTGAGTAAATAATAATTGCCGCTGACGATTTTAGGGCTCATTATTTTAATCAGAAGATTATAGACACTGTGCTCAAACAACTGTATAAAGTAATTTAGTTACACTGCTGAATGTCAGGGAATTAATTAACTTTTAAAATGCTACAGTATGTAGTACGGCCTAATTTTGTCATTCTTTCATCATGGAACTTCATTAAAACTTGAGGCTCACACTTTATAATGAATATGGAAGTTTCTACAATAAAACTTTTCCAGGGTTGCTAATTAGCCAGTAATTAATTTTAGGCAGTATAGGCTTGTGAGATAATCAAGTAATTTATTTGTACATATTTATGACTTCAATAAAAATTTTTATCTTGCTTTACACATGTATTTTCTTACTATATTTGAATGGCAAGCCTCTCATCTTATTTTCACTTACAAGCCTTCGAGGTGGTCATGGAAGTACTGTTTTAATTTCTGTGTTAGATGAGGAAACGGATTCAGTTACCAAAACCCTACATAGAAACAAGATAATTTTATCTATATGTTTATTTGTATGTTTACAAAAGTGTATCCTGGCAGAAACATGCTATCAGTTAGATATGTCTCAATCATCAAGACTTTTTATCAAAAAGGCAAGAAATTGAGAAAATTTCTATGGAACCCTCAACTTCGAACTTTACCATAGGTCCTCCAAGGCTGCTATGGAGCATACTAAACACATGTACTTAAATCACCTGGGGGGGCAATGCAGAGACAGTACATAAGGCGTGAGAAAACCTGGGTTCATGCCTAGGAAGGAGACCCTAGGTTTGTGATCCAGAGTGAATATTTAAATGCTCAGTCTTAGCTTCTAATCTGTTAAATGGGCACAGTACTTGCCTCACTGGGTTGTTCAGAGTAAATAGTGAAATCACATGTTAAAAACCAGTGTAAAAATGCTTATGCATCATGGACATGCATAAAAATGTGTATACTATTCTCATTGATTCAGTATGTGTAATTTTCATTATATTCAACATATGTATCATCAGGATTTGTTTACATTTTTTTTCCTGTATCATGCTTTGATATGCATATTCTTGTAGAAGAGAATATAAACTGTAGAAATGTGGCTTAAATGTAAGCACTGAGTTTCTGATAGAGAAACTCAGGCACTAAGTAGTGCAGTGTAGCCATTTTGCAAAGAATAATTTGGAGCGGGGGAAAGAACAATTTTAGCTCTGCTTACATGTTTTTGGGCAAATCTGTAGGTACTTTCCCTTCAATTTTACCAATTTTATGAAACTTCAAGTTGATTTTCAAGCCATCTTAAAGCACCCTTCTGCAATATATGCTAATCAAGATCTTGCTTCTATCTTACAACGTTAAAAAGTAGAAGCCAGTCTGTCACATGTAAAACTTCGATGGGTATTTTAAAAAACATTTTAAAATAAATAAATTTGTTGAGTTTTTTTTAAATGTGAAATACTGTAATTAATCATATTTCAGTACAGGCTTGCTTTCAAATGATTACATCACTGGGGAGCTACGCCAAGCCAAACGCTGAGCAGTTCAGATTCAGTTAGCATTTCCTAGGAACTCCCCGGAGGTAGGTGCCTACTAAGGACTCCTAGCCTTTTCATTTCACATTGCATTCTCTATGAGGTTGGGACAGCACTCTTGTTTTACAAGTTGAGAGACTGAGCTCAGAAACATTCAACAACCTGCTCCACCTTGGACACACAATGGGTCGATAATGGAGTCAAAATTAGGTCTTAATGGAGCCAAAATGAAGTTCAATCTCAAGTTTTTGGACTCCAAATCCAGGTTTCCTTCTGATTTGATCATCACCTTCCAATAATGTAGGGTTTACTGATTATTTATGGAAGGCATGGATAAAGGGCCAGTGGGATCTTCAGAGAATGGAGACGGGGGTGACTGATGGGTTTCTAAAGGTCTACAGACTTAAGGTTGAATAGAATGAGCATAAGCAACGTGGGAGGGGGAAGTGTTTTGAGAACCTGAATAAGCTAATTGACTTATGTGGCTGAAGCACCATGAGAGGAAAGGCAGCTTGACAGAACAAGCTGAAGCCAGCCATGGAGGGTCTTACATGGGTTCTCGAGGATGTGGGCTTCATCTTGTGGGCAGTAGGAAAAGTCACAGAGGAGTGTGCATCTCAAAAGAATCCACTGCATACAGCCAGTAGACATGTTTGGAAATGACTAATCAAGTCAGGAGCCAAAGATTAGTATTTCATTTGTGTTTTAGTTAAAACAGTCTCTGCCTCAATCTCCAGGGATGTACTACCATTTCACCAATTATTCCTCCCCAAGCCTGGCCCATAGCTTTTATATAGTCATAATAGCTCCAGGCATCCTAAACAATCTTCCAAGTATTTTATTAATAACATTGCTGTTGCTGTGGCAAGTGTCAAGAGACCTGTGTATCTGCTTATACCTGATTGATTTTATAAAGAGGTGCACATGACCTAAAGGCAAAAGCTGTCACTGTCACCCAAGAGTCTCTAATATCCATGGTTTTTCAAAGTGCTCTTTATTTAGGATTTTCTACTTCCAGTTAGACGAAGGGACCTGCATATTCTCTGACCCACTTTCTTTTTTTTTTTAGACAGAGTTTCGCTCTTGTTGCCCAGGGTGGAGTGCAATAGCACAATCTCAGCTCACTGCAACCTCCACCTCCTGGATTCAAGCAACTCTCCTGCCTCAGTCCCCTAAGTAGCTGGAATTACAGGCATGTGCCATCACACTTGGCTATATATTTTTTTTTTTTTTTGTATTTGGTAGAGATGGAAATTCACTGCGTTAGTCAGGCTGGTCTTGAACTCCCGGCCTCAGGTGATCCACTCGCCTTAGCCCCAAAGTGCTGGGATTACAGGCATGCACCACTGTGCCCGGCCCCCTCTGACCCTCTTTCTAGGCTTCCATTCCCCTTAACAAGACAATACTAGTGTCTATCATTTCTGTGCTGATTAAGTGCTAGGCCCTGAACTAGATGCCTAACATGAAGGAGGAAATATTAATCTTCTATTTATGTATTCAAAAAGACAGGTTAGGAAGCTTGCTCAAAGTCGCATAATAAGTAGAAAAACTAGGATTTGAATTTAGTTCCTGTTAGTCTAACTGCACCTACACACCTTCTAGAATGATAGTTAACAAATTATGCTCCGTGAGTCAAATCCTGCCCATTGCTTCTTTTTGTAAACAAAGTTTCACAAGAACACAGCCACACTCACTCCTTTACTTACTCTCTAGGGCTGCTTTCACTGTGATGGTTGAATTGACTAGTTGTAGCAGAGACCCTATAGCTGGCCACACCTAAAATATTTACCATCTGGCTCTTTACAAAAATAAAGCTCAGGGGAGGGGGGGAGGGGGAGGGGGAGGGGGAGGGGGGAGGGGGGAGGGGGAGGGGGAGGAGGAGGAGGAGGAGGAGGGGGAGGAGAAGGAGGAGGAGGAGGAGGAGGAGGAGGGGGAGGAGAAGGAGGAGGAGGAGGAGGAGGAGGAGGGGGAGGAGAAGGAGGAGGAGGAGGAGGAGGAGGAGGAGGAGGAGGAGGAGGAAGAAAAAGTCCATAACTTCAAAAACACACACAAAGCATGTGATTGTCTTATCTGGGAAGCTGCTCCCCAAATTGCCACAATAACTGTGTTTAGTTATAACTTAAGGCTTAAAAGGCAGACACTGGGCTCTGACTTTTTAGGCAAATTCTCGAAACTCAATTGACATTTCTCTGAGGTTTTCCTGCCTGCAGGTGTTGCATTCAGCCAAGATGGTTTCTACCACCAAAAGATTCATAACCTATTAGGGGATGCAGACTTGTACAAGGGCAGATTCTGCACAAAGTAGACCCAGAAAGGGCTACATCAGAGAGACAGAGAATGTGCTATGTGATCATACAGCAGGAGGACATTTTCTGCATACAAGGTGGGAGATATTAGAGAAAGACTTCAGGAGAAGAGTTTGAACTTGGCCTCAAAACAAATTTTATCATAGGAAACGCAGAGAGGGCCACTGCAGGTGGAGGGTGGGTGGGGTGCGGATAATTAGTGATGGGATGTGGTATGTGATGAGGTAAGATGTGGAGCTGGGACAACTTATAGGGCCTGCACAAGCTTTCTGTGTTCCCATGCATGTGTGTAGGTTTGAATATGTGAATTTATTTACTCACAGTCAAGCAAAATGGACCAAGGACCTGTGAGATTCTGTCTATCTGAAGGATTCATACAATATGCTGAGTTTATACATAAGAAGTAATGAACCCTTTTAAAATATGGCAGTAAAAATCATCAGCAAATAATAAGATCTATAATATCCATATGAAAATGTTTACTGCAGCATTATTTACAAGAGGAGAAATACTGGAAACCATGGTTGTTAGGGGAATGGTTGAATGAGTTATGGTATGCCTACACTATGGAATACGATGCAGTTGTTAAAAATAATGCATTGGGTCTTTTGTGTTGATATGGTAATTTATCCATGAAGTATTGTTAAATGAAATAAAACACATTTCATTCATAAAATGTTAATATAAATCATTTTAAAAGAGTGAATATATATTGATATGGTTAGACTTTGCTTTCCCACCCAAATCTCATCTTGAATTGTAATCCTCATAATCCCCATGTGTCAAGGGAGAGACCAGGTGCAGGTAACTAAATCACGGGGGCAGTTTCTGCATGCTGTTCT